AAATATGTTGAAGCCGTGGGGACTTAGGGTCCTCCAGTCTGATTGGCAGTACAGGTTTCAGACCGCAGTCATTGTTCTTAGAGGCAGGAAGGTGGTCTACACAACCCGTCAAGGCCTGTTTGACCTCTTCCTCGTGTAGCTAGCCACCCCAGGTGCCCATGACTTAGCAGTGAGACCTCTGATGAAATGTACTTTATCTAGAACCCTGGGTTAGTGTGTTTCCCAGTACCTGACCTTGGTCGTTGGGACATCATCAGCTTCTCTGTGGGTCCCCTACCATGTAGGAAGCAGATCAGCCTTTGACTTAGAGAACAAGTTGGATCATAACCCGTATTCAGTGTAAATCATTGAAAGAAATGATAAAACCTTATCATTTAATATTAGGTATCACTTAATGAAAAGTGGGACAGAAACTTGAATTTTAGACTGAGACTGCTGCTCAGGAGCCGATTTGTTGGTCTTCAGAGTCCAAGGAGACCCCTTGGCCTGAACGCTTGTCAACCCGATGCCAGGGTGACAGACCAGGAGGACCCCATGTACTCACTCAGTAGCTAGTGGGACTCAGCGGGACCTTCCAGCACTTGGCTGACCCCACCCCTCAAGGAGGGCTGGGGCCTGCTCCTCTCATGCCTGCGGGCCACAGTGCCACCTGCAAGGCACATGTGCTTGGTAAGAAGTCTTCTCAGATTTAACTTAGTCATGTAACATTACTTCTTAGATCCTGAAATTTATAATAAAAATACTTTTAAGTACTCTTGTCACCGAGAGCTGACGTTTTAAATGTGCTTGATTTTTTAAAAATTATTTTTTAAAGAAATTATCCCTAAAAAAGTACTTCAAAGAGTTGATCAAGAAGAGATCTGAGCATGTCTGTGTGTTCTGTCGATGTGTTGCACTGTGATGCCCTGTTGTGAGTTTGTGTCCCATGTAGGGAGTGATGGTTGTTTTAAGGGTTCTCTCTAGTGTAGCTGGAGGTGATGGGAGTAGTTTCCTCAGTTCTCACAGCTGATGTGGCTCTATAGTCTGTCTCACGGGTCACAGAGACTGGCAGGTCACCTTGATTGTTGTTGTTGTTTTTAAGATTTTTCTTCCAGTATTAACCCTTTGGAACTTTGGACTCTTTAAGGGCTAGTAGTCATGTTCAGATGGGAGTGGCTAAGAAGTCTGCTAGAGGATATTTGTATCAGGGTTCTCCAGCAAGGCAGGAACAGGAAAGATGTGATCCTGAGCTATAACTGCTTGTTGCTTTATTTTACTACCCATGAACACTAACCTAACCTGCCCAAGTATATTCTTCTGGGTGCTGGTAAGTAGCTAACCTCCCATTAGTTCTCTGCACATGGAATCTTATTCCTGGGAGGTAGGTGTGTGGTATTGCATTGCCCACTGCTTGGCAGTGAGACGGAGTGGCCCCACAAGGGTGCTGCTCTGTCTCTGCACTTCCTAGGTTTGCCATCCTTTAAACAGATACAAATAAACAGGCAGTCTCCCGATGTAGCCTAGGCTGGTCTTGAGTTTGTACTCCAGCCTCAGGACTGAGATTACAAGTATGTGTCACCACACCTGGTCTTGCTGTTACATGAAAATTAGTTCTCAAGTCCTTGTTCTTCTGGGGGCTGATAGTAGGCCGTTTGTGCCCCTGGACTAAAGATTCAGAATGCTTTCAACTTGATTAGGGAACACACAGCATCAGATCGAGGCGCCACAGCCTCCTGTTCTTTGTGAACCAGAGGAAAGAAGGCTGTACTAGTTAGTGACTGTCACCTGTGTGTGCACTTCGTGCTAGGACTGGGCTGCATACTAGTCAAGTGCTTTACCACACTAGGCAAGTGCTCCATCCCTCCTACACCTTGACCCTTGGTAGAAGTCTTAACTGCCCCACTCAGTGAATTGATGGATGCTCACTTAGCCAAAAGCCAGTATGGTTTTCCTGACAAAACCACCAGAACTAAAGAATACCAACTTAATCTTCTGAGCTGACAAATCCGAGTCCAGAGTGCCTTAGCAGGAGGGACTTGCATGATCACTGCCTTCTAGAAGAGGGTCTAGACCAGTGGTTCTCAACCTGTGGGTCAGGACCCCTTGGGGGGTGGGGCATATATCAGCTATCCTGCATATCAGGTATTTGCATTACAGTTCATAGCAGTAGTAAAATTACAGTTATGAAGTTATGTGGTTGGGGATCACCACACCACAACCCGAGGAACTGTGTTACAGGGTTGCAGCATTAGGAAGGTTGAGAACCATTGCCCTAGGTTAACACGCCCATTTGGCCTGGTTCATGTATACCTCACCCAGAGCACCCCGGCCCTCCTGCCTGTGTTCCAGCCTCTTCACAATCATTTGTCCTAGGGAGAGTGGAGTTCTCGGAGTCTGGGCCTTTGCCCACAGCTGCCACTGTGCTAAGGCCCCACCCCCCCCCACCCCCCCCCCACCCCGCCCCCGGCAGAGAACACAGCGCCTGCTCCGCCTTTTGCTCTCAAGGTGAGATGTGGACATCTGACCTTTTAAGAGCTACTTTATAGGATTTCTAGCTAAAAAAAAAAAAAGTTCTTTCTCTTATTTTAGGTCTTCATGAATTCTACATGAGCTCTCTGCTCACTAGTATGATCAGCCTTGGCCTCTGTCTCTCTCTCTCTCTGACACACACACACAATCCTTTAGCAACAGTGCAGCACTGAGAACCTCCATTTGTGAGAGGGCCGTGGTATGCCGTGTTGGTATACCTTCTAAGTGAGCTTTGTGTGGTCACTGCCCCCTCTTGTTGATATGGATTGAGCACTTACTACTTGCCAGAGGCTACAGGGCTTTCTTACCTATGGCTCCTTCAGGTCCTGGAGCTGCTCCTCGGAGCTAGACTTCCCATGTTACAAAGGGGGAACTTGCCCAGAAAGCCTGGTTAATCTGGAGGCCTAGCTTACTAGAAGCATTCTTAGTGACTTTACCTGTGTTGGCAGTCCCCATAGAGAGCTGTGCAGTTTACGGCACAGACTGGGGTAGCCTATGCTCCACTTCCTGTTTCTTCAGATGTACCAGAGGCTAGTCTAAGCACTGAATTCAGTGAGTACAGAAAACCAAGGAGTATATACTCAGTAACTCCGGATTTCGGTGGGTAGTTCATGATCTCTGGTCCTCTTCCCTGTGGTGGCCATCAGTCCAGGGTCTGATGGACTGATGGCATAAGGAGAGATATGGGACACCTAGAGGGATTTTGGATTCTTGACATTCAGACTCAGGAATGACCAGATAGTCTTCCATCTTGTTCATCTGAAAAGTGCTTCCCAGTGAAATCCTGCCACAGAATTGACTCTTGTGGTTGTACAGCCATGGAACCTTTAAATAGAGTTCCATGGAGAGGTGGAAGCTGTTGTGAAAAGATGAACACATTGTCTTTTTCACACAGCCTGTCCCAACTTGGCTCGCCATGTCCCAGGTTGCCAGTTAGGGCCCTTCCCACCTCTTGTTTACACAAGGCCCCAGCCCTCCGCTGCTTCAGTGTCGCTCAGGTCAGAATTGTCTCAGGGACACTTGCAAGGCCTCGCTCGGCCCAAGTCGGAGGAGCCAGCTCAGGGGTTCTTCTGTTTTCTCCTCTAAGAGGGTATTTTAGACACTGCTTGTGCAGGGCTGTTCTTTGTATCACAGAAGAACCTAGTTACTGGACACACTCCTTCAGCAAACACTGACAGGAAAAGCTATGAATCTATCGATGTATGTGTGTGGATGCATGCCACAGTGTGCGTGTGGGAGGCAGAGACACTCGTGAAGTCAATTGGTTGCCTCCTTTTACCATGTGTCCTGGCACTTGGTGGAAGGCAGGCACCGTTACCCGTGGAGCTATCATGCCAGCGCCACATTTTGTCATTTTGAGATGACAGGTTGGTTTGTGGAGGCCTTCACCAAGGTTAGCTACAGCTCTCCTTAGTGAGGTCTGAAAAAGTCTGTCTGGTCCCTGTGGACACAGGCCATTTGTTGGCCAGCACAGAGGGGAAGGAAAACATGTTTTCCTGGACCTGTATTTTCCCTGCTCTTGTAATCTCTCTCTTCCTTCAGATTAAAAGTGCCTCTCTCTCCTAACTCCTTGATTCAGCTCAGTTTGTTCCTGGGTCTAGTATCTTGTAGTTTCCCCTCCCCCTGAAGTACTGGAATGGCAATTAATAACATAGCAGAATCAGGCAGATACAGCTGTTAATGTTTGCCCAGACTGCATGAGGTCCTGGGTTTGATGCCAGCACCACATAAACTGGGCCTGGATACATACCTGTAATTCCAGCACTCAGGTGCAGGAAGAAAGGCCATACTTGGCTAAGAGCTAAAGGCCAGGCTTTAATACATGAGATCCTATCTTTAAAAAGTAAAATTAGCACTGGGTGTGGTGGCGCACGCCTTTAATCCCAGCATTTGGGAGGCAGAGGCAGGCGCTTCTCTGTGAGTTCGAGGCCAGCCTGGTCTACAGAGTTTTATACAGAACAACTCTGTCTCAAAGGAAAAAAAAGGAAAGTAGCATAAGCATGTTACTCAGGCAGCACCCGTTTCCAGTCAGCTCTGACTTGCTAAATTCATTGTTGTGAATTGTTCTGGCTCCTTTCCCTTCCTGTTGTCTACTTTGTGCCCAATCTATTCTTTATCTCTGGGAAAGTGACAAAATTCAAGTCTACAAACCGTGCTTTCAGTCAGAAGCAATGTCTTGGGGGGACACACCCTGGAGGTGACAATAAAATGGAACTTTATGATAACCGGTGACTCATTTTTTTGTTCAATCCTCTTGCCATTGGGGGTTAGTTCAGACAGTCTGTTTTGTAGTCTAAGTATATGCATTCTTGGTTTGCCTCAGTTCTGAAAGCACGATCCTGGCATTCAAAGCCACATCTCAGCTCCCAGTGAGCAGAGCTAGTCAAGTCGCTGGAATAGAGCCAGGCTTAGGAACTGTGACCTCAAACACCTGCGTTTGTGCTGGACCTTCGGATGTACTAGATCATCTGGGAGATGTCGCTATGCAACCATCTTTTAGAGAAGAAAGCCTTTTATTTTAAAGAAACAAGTTTCTATCACTTAAATCAATTCACATATTTTTAGAACAGAATGAAAAATAGTCCCTGAATTAAAATCATCTGTCACTTATACCCACACAAGGATCGTGTTACTAAAGAAAAATCCACCCATTTCCATGATCCACCAAGCCCTCATGGCAGGGATGCATTCAAGATTGGAACACTTAGCAGGTAGTGGAGGCTCACGCCTGCAATCCCAGCATTAGGAAAGTTAGCAGAGCCACCCTGCGTTTGAGGATGGACAGTCAGACCTTGTCTCTGAAATACAGAAGTGAAGGAGGGCATTTGGCCTTGATACTGGAATCTTTCTAGAACGCTGGCCCAGGAGAGAGGATGGCAATTTTGCTTTACACCAAGAGAATCTATCGGCCGTGACTGGACACTGCCTCTGTGAACCTGACTGAGACGGTGGCCCGCTGCCCTGCGTGCACATGGCAGGTGACAGTGCCCCTGTTGATGACTGGCTGGCAGACCTCTCTCCTACGCATTCGGTTGACTCCGGCACTTGAGCTGTTCCTTGTGTGATGTGTTCCCTGGCGAGAACCTGATTGTCATAGCTGACATCACACAGATGAGGTGTGTGCACAACTCAGTTGGTCCCCCCTGGAATAGAAAGCTTTAGGAAACTGTCCCCGAAACAGCTAGGCCCTTGGGTATGGGTAGTGCGGGGAGGGCTGCTTAGCACTTCCCATGATTTGAGAGCAGAATCGAAGTCTCAGACCTCATTGCCTTTTACAAAGGAAGGCTGTGGCCTTCTGAGCACAGAGACGTCCCCTGCATTGGGTGGAATTCTCCCTCCTGGGCCAGGGCACCCCTCCTAACACCTTTCTGAAACAGAAGCCCGCCTGCATGGGCAAGACAACGTCCCAAAGCTGGCCTCTCGTGAACAGTAACTTCACATTACAAATAAGTTTTTCTGCCTTACAACCTGCTTTTAAATTTAATTTCCAAGTAGGAACCCATACAGCTGATAAAATAAAGGTACATGGTGTGGATGCAGGAGCTGGCGTAAGACCTTCAGATACAAGCAAGCTGGCATCTTCATTAGACTACCTCAATGTAGAAATCTTAAGTGAGTCACCAGCTCAAAACACTGTCCTGAAAATAGAGACCTGTCCTCACTCCGACATCTGTTTACATGGCTACGGTTCCTTCGGAGGCAGCTTCACCGTTCTTGCCGTATTGGGTTCCAGCCAGTCACTGCAGGCGTCCTTCAGTCCATCCCCTAAGACAAGAGCAGCAGAGTCAGTTCATTCTAGGATTCAGTGCTCTAGAACACAAGCGCTGCACTCTGGCTGGGGCTCAGCAAAATGCCTGCCTGACACACAGAGACCTGGGCTTAATCCCCAGCACCACTGACCCACGTGTGGTGGGGCAGGCCTGTAGTCCAGCACTCAGGGAGCTGAGGCAGGGAGACTGTCTTGCATTCCATGCCATCTTGGATTAGAGTGTGGACTCTGCCTTCCCCCAATAAACAAACAACCTCCTCCCCCAAAAGGGAGAGGTCACAAATATTATTATAGGTTAGATCTATCCCATCTAGCTTCCACTTGGGCTTAGCTTGGTGTAAGCACTCTTCCTGAGCATGCGCAAGGCCCTAGAATTATCCCAGCACCACCAAAATCAAAACTCATGGCTGCCCTGGCAATGGGCATGTCCTCAGGTCACTGAAGAGCTTAGACAGCCTTCCTCGCAGTCATTTATTATCCTTACTAGTTTCTCTCCATCATCCTTGGGAAGCACACTTTTAAAGAATTTACATTATGGGCTAGTGGGATGGCTCAGCGGGTAAAGGTGTCTACTGCCAAGTCTGATGAGGACCCGAGTTCAATTCCTGGGATCCACACAGTGGAGGAGAGAACCGTGCCCACAAGCTGTCTTCTGACTGCCACATATGCCGGACACACATGCCCCACGCAAATAAATAAATGTAGTCAATTTCTGATGACTTCTCTTACGCCTGGGGCTGTGGAGATGGCTGAGTGAGCTGCCCTGCAGGCATGAGCTGAGTCTGGATGGCCAGCAGCCATGTGAAAACCAGACTCGGTCTGGAGGCTGGAGAGATGGGTCAGCGCTTAAGAGCGCTGGCTGTGCTTGCAGAGGACCCTAGCTTGATTCCCAGCACCCACGTGGCTGCTCACAACCACCTCTAACTCCAGTCCCCGAGGATCCAACACCCTCTTCTGGCCTCTGCAGGCGTCAGGCACACACGTGGCACACAGGCGGTGCACCAATACATATAAACCAAAACCAAGTGGAGGTGCTAGTCTAACCCAGGGCCGGGAAGGCCGGGGTGGGGGGGAGCACCCAGGGCTCACTGGCCAGCTAGCTTAGCCTAAATGACAAGCCTCAGCTTCACTGAGACCCCAACTCAAAAAGACAGAAGATAAAAGCCGACACCTGATAATGACCTCTGGCTTTCATGGGCACCCCCACACACGTTCACACACCCCTATGCTTAGGTCTGTGACAGTACGGAGTAGCCCGAGAGCTGAGCCCTTGTCCGTTGTCCTTGTCCCTGCCACTCCATGTCCCCGACCCTGCTTGGATCCCAACACCTTTGCCCCTTAGCTGAACAGTCAGTCTTCAGTCAGTCAGAAGGGGGAGGGGGAGGGAGGGACTTCAGCAGAAGGCTCTGCTGGGTTCTGAACAGTCCAGAGAATAGGGTAGGCAAGCCGGCAGGGACCACAGGATCCCCAAGAAGCCAGGGGCTGGTGTCACTGGTCCTTACATTTCTAACCAAGTTCCTCACATAGGCGAATAAATTCTGGTTAATAAAGTTCACTGTCGTGCGGAAGACATCACGGAGCAAGGACGGCGCATGACTGGCCACGTTTCTGGCCAACAGCAAGGTCATTATCAGCATGGCCTTTTCATTCTCCATGTCTCTAGGGAAGGCCGTCTTCACCTCGTCAAGGGCTTTGGCCAGGCAGTTCCTCCTGTCCTGCACAAGAAAGAAGACAGTTTACTGATGTCCTTCCTTTCAGAGGGGAGCGGTCACTAAATGGCCAAGAGTGTTGGGCAGAGGGAATGGTGGGGAGTTCAGTCCCCACAGGCCGTGGAGAGGGGCCTGGGCACGGACCAGAGCGCGCTCACTGAGCAGCATGTGCACACACCACTGAGTTGCTCCCGGCAGTCAGATTCTTACAGGAGGATGGATGTTCACGAGGATGGCTGAGGCTCATCTTACTGGTGTGCTTAGCTTTAGGGGCTACATGTTATCTTTCCTTCATGTGGGAAAGGCAGACACTAGACCACAAGACCTGAGGAGATGGCTTAGAGGTTAAGAGCACTGGCTGCTCTTCCAGAGGTCCTAAGTTCAATTCCCAGCACCTACATGGCACCTCACAACTGTCACAACTCCAATTCCAGGGGATCTGACACCTGTGGTGATTATTTTGTTTGCACTCTAACAAATAAAATTTGTCTGAAGACCAGAGGAGGAGCCAGCCACTAGATTAAACAGAGGCCAGGCAGTGGTGGCACACACCTTTAATCCTAGCACTCAGGAGGCAGAGACTCCATCTGGATCTCTGAGTTCAAAGCCACCCTGGACTACACAAGATTAATCCATTTTAAAAGAGCCGGCAGTGGCTTTAATCCCAGACACACCTTTAATCCCAACACTTGGGATCACAGGCCTTTGCTCCCAGTATGTGGGACGCACACACGCCTTTAATCCCAGCACTAGGGAGGCTGAGACAGGAAGTGATATGGCTGGGCAGAGAGAGGAATATAAGGCGGGAGGAGACAGGAGTTTGACGCCCTTTCAGCTGAGGACTCAGGAGCATTCAGTCTGAGGATTCGTGGAGACAGGATCTTGGCTTTCAGCTGAGGAGTTGGCGAGGTGAGAAGTGGCTGTGGCTTGTTTCCTCTGATCTTTCGGCATTTACCCTGATATCTGTCTCCAGGTTTTTATTATAAGACCAATTAGGATTTGTGCAACAGACACCTTCACACCAACACACATAAGATCAACCTAAGTGAGTTATTTTTTCAAAAAAGAAGAGAATCCCCCTCCTCCGTCCCTTGCAGAGCCAGGTATTTCACAGCCTCGGGGTTTGGTATTCTCTCTCTCCTTGGGGAAGGACAAAGTGCCGAGGAACAGGCTTTGGGTCCTTCACAGTACTAAGCAAGAGGAGTCTTGTCAGTTTCTATGTGCCGATTGTAACCACAAAGCCAGGCAGAGGCACAGGTCACACAGTCACTCTGGGAAGATGACTTCAAGGCCTCCCCTGGCGTCTTCATCTGACTCTCCAAAGCGAAGACCGAGTCTTTCTGTAATCAGGCATTTTGGTCTTCTTTCTGGAGGCTTCCCCCTAAGTTCTGGACTCTGACTTAAGGGATCCCACATCTCAACTGATTACCATGCTGGTGGCAGTCAAGGACAGGACTCACTTCCTGAGAGACTCTGGCTCTGCAAAGGAGACCGTCCCCACACTTCCCAAGCGCCCTAGAGGAGGAGCTGGGGGGTTGGAGTCACATACTTACTTCCTCTGAGAGGCTGACGTTCCTGAACTGAGCCGCCAGATGTCTCACGAGTGTGGGATGGATGCTGTGGTCCATCTCATCGCCTACTTGGGCGAGACGCCTGGCAATGTTCTGGATGACTTCCTCCTGACTTTCGGAATCTGAACATGCAGGCAGCAGATACAAACAAGATTCAGTGATGGTCCTGGTCCACAGCTGCCTGCCACTTCCCACCTCCACACGCCCTTGTGAGGCCAGTCACGGCCGAGTCCCAGAAGGCCCGAGGAGCAGAAGCTGGCTGCAGAAGCAGGTCTGTCCCAGATGAACCACTTGCTGCCGCCGCCGGGAAAAGGCCCAGAGCTGCGGCATCCCCGGATGCACCGCGGAGATGAGCCTGGGACCAGCCTGGGCCTAGGGAAGGGGCTGAGCCGGCAGCGGCATCTGAGTCCCCGCTCTGCCACACGCTGCCCGGAGACCACGCATCCTTTACCTCCTCACAGGGCAGCAGTGGGGTTTCCCAGCCCCCTAACTCTGGAAAGGCCCGGGGCACTGTTAACTGGGGCTGTCCTGCCGTGTCTCCTCGAAAGCTGTCCTTCCGCCGCTTCCCCATGCTGCCCTGCCCTCCACTGCCTGGTCCTACTGTGCGGCGGCGGCGGCGGTCTCTGTCCAGTCTGCTCCCCTTCTTCTTTTGGCACTTACCACGCGCTTTCATCTGTTTCTATTGTCTGACACAACGGCTAAAACGTAGGCTTCTGAAAGCCTGTAATTCTGTTTAGATGAATTTATTTATGGGTACGCGTGTTTTATGTCTGTGTACCACTCTTGTGCCTGGTATCCACGGAGGTCAGAGAGGGCGCTGGATGCCCCAGAACTAGAGTGGTGAGCCACCGCGTGCATGAAGGAACTGAGCCTGGGTCCCCACAAGAGTCACACGTGCTCTTAATCACCAGCCCTTTCTCCAGCTCCTGGAAAACTAATTTCAAAATCTTCTGGTTTACTGTCAGATACCCAACACTTAAGAGCAATGCATGAGTGGCATATAGTTGGTGCCCAGCAGGTAATTTCGTGAATGAATGAGTGAATGAATAAATCACAAACTTGTACGTAGCTCCTAAAAAGTGCTCAGTAAATATCACTGAGTTTTTGTTTGAACCCCTCTGGCTTCCTGACAGGGACAAGCTCCCCCCTCAGGCAGCCGTCAAACTGGGCCTCACAATGCAGGCTTGCCCTGTATCTCAGAACCAGGAGGGGTACAGTGAGCTGGGTCTAAGGGGGACTCACTCTAAGGAAGTGGCGAGAGGCCCCACGCACTCAACGCTGGAGTGAGGGAAAGAGGGCTTCCCTCTGTCCTGTGCTCTCGCCCTCACGGCGGCTTTCATGGCGACTCGGCCTCACAAGCGGGGCAATCGCTCTCCACGCAGCGAATGCCTGGCCCTCGCTCAGTCGCTGCACGTCCTAGACGCACCACACTGCTCTCCAAGGCCTTTCCAGTGCTCGCTCACTTCTGCTGAGTGACATGTCACCGGGCTTCTGGTTCCCTGTGACAATGTCACTCCTCCTTCTGCTCACTCACTCGCTGAAGCTTCTACTCTGCCCTCTCCCAGTCAGACCAGACTTCTCCCAGGCCTCGGTGAGACCAAGTGCCAGCCCCACAGTCTCCTTTCCTGACACCCTTGCAGTTTAGCCAGGCTTTGGCGTCGGAAGGCATGACCGAGGCAGAAAGAAGCAGGGAAAGACTTACACAAGTTTCAGGCTAGCCAGGTAACAGTGAGACCCTGTGTCAAAAACATTAATTAACCAGAGGAAAAGAGAATTAAAAAAAAAGGCGAAACCAGTCGCTAGTCTCCCTCACAACCACTCCGGGGCGGCGCAGCCTCTGCCTGAGATCAGGGAAGCTGGGCTTGCTTAGCAGCAGGTACCAAGTCCAGCTTGAAAGGTCAGCTCTCTTTGGTTTGCTTGCTTGCGACAACCCCAGGGCCTTAGAAAGGCTAGGCACTCTCTACCTCTGACCTACATCTCCAGCCCCTGGCCTGCAGGGTTGGAAGGCCTCAGTCTAGGGCTTGGAGGTCCTGGAGGCCTACAGAGCAGTGACTCGAACCAGGATCAAACGTCAACCGAGGGCCAGCGAGTTGGCTCAGGGGCGCTTGCTGCCCAGCCTGACAACCTGAGTTAGATCCCCAGACCCACTTGGTGGAAGGAGAGAACCAACTCTGACTCTATCCGAATGCTAGGACATGTGCATACCCCATACCCAGACAGACACGAAGTTTTTAAAAAAGTCATCCAGCAGTCTCCAGCTCAGGAACACACTGGCCGGGCAGAGCCCCAGGCCCGCGCATTTTGAAGAACTTCTCACATAATGCCAACGTGCACACTACCAACAAGTGCTCTGAGCACGTGGCACACCCCAGCCTTTAGGAAAGTCCCACCCCCCTGCTGCAAACAGCACCGGAACAGAGATACATTAAACAGAGGCTTCGAAGGGAGCCCAGGGCTCAGGTCAGGGAAAGACCAAGTCTAGATGTGGCCAGAGTGACACAGGTTCATCAGGGAGTGAGACCGCATGGTTCAGGGACAGCTCGGCTGAGTCCTGCTCCTGAAGGATGAGCAGTTTGATCTGAGGCTACTCATTTCCCTCTGCTGTGCCTCGGTTTCCTTATCTGGAAACGAGGGTCAGAATACTTCTGTGCTCTGGTTATCTCTTAAGGTAATAGCAAGTCACATATGTTAAGGTTTCTGAAAGAATGCAAAAATGACTAAAGGCAGGAGTTTTAGCTGGACTCAGAATTCAGCTAGCCTACACAAGGTCCTGTGGAGCTGTGTTAGAGTCGCTTGGAGGCTGGGACCAGACTAGCAATGTCCTAGCCCTCCCAGATCTGAATGGCAAGGCCAGCCTTGCTAGGTTTCAAAACTCCCTAGGTCTTTGAAATTCCCAATCTGAAGCTGGTGGCAGCTGAGTTATGAAAGCTCCAGCAGCATCCAGTCTTTGGCTACACCACACTGTAACTGCTTGGGACCTATGGTAAAAAGCCCGTTTTGTTATTGGTCCAGACCTGGAGAGAACTCAGAACTCCTCAGAAGGAGGAGCTTTCTAATTAGTCCTGAAGCGGGACAATGAGTTAGACATGACGCAGTCAAGCACAGACCGAAGACAAGTCACATGACACGCACACATTTAAGAACCTGACAATGCAGGGTTACAGACTGAGCCCCAAAGCTCCCTGAAACCTTGGGGGGGCAGTAAAGCCTAGATATGGGGTGAAGGGGACAAGGCCGGGGCCTACCTGGCTCTATTCTTCCCTGGTAGAAGGAGCGGCTGGCCCGGCCGCCATCGGTCTGCAGCTCGTCCTCGAAGTCTGCATCCAGGTAAACTTCCACGGGCAGCTCCTGACTCAGCGCCTCCAGTTCTTGGTGGAAATTATACTTGGAGCTTTGGAGAAAGCCAAACACCAGCAGGTCTGTGATGTGCTCAGCCTCCAGTCCTGAGCCGTTGCTGACCTAAGGTGAAAACGGAGTCAGGAAGGCTCATGGAAGCCTGGGTCAGGGCACAGGCGGGCCTGAGGCTCACTGCCTGTAAGAACCAGCAACTCTGAGGATCCAAATGCTCCAGTAGGAGGCCCAGGGGTGGAGGCACATTCTGCAGTACCCTCTGTGGCAGAATAGTATTTAAGGTGGGTTACTTTTGTTTATGTTGCATTTGTTTAACTCTGTGTTAGTGTGCCTGTGTAACACACCTGATGGTCTAATAAAGAGGTGAACAGCCAACAGTGAGGCAGGAGAGAGAAATAGAGAGTATAAATAGAAGGAGAAATCTGGGGGGAAAAAAAAGAGCCAGAGAAGGAGGAGGCCTCCAGGGGCCAGCCACCCAGCTACACAGCAAGCCACGGAGTAAGAGAAAGATTTACAGAAGTAAGAGAATGGGAAAAGCCCAGAGGCAATAGGTAGATGGGATAATTTAAACTTAAGGAAAGCAGACAAGAAGCAAGCCAAGCTAAGGCTGGACATTTATAAGTAAGAAGAAACCTCCGAGTGATTTATTTGGGAACTGGGTGGCAGGCCCCTCCAAAGAGTAAAAAACAACCAACAACAACCCTCCCCAACTACCAAAACCTGCAGACACCAAGGGATGATCTAGTCACCTTCCACAGAAGGCCTCCTGAAAAACCCCCTGGGGAAGCAGCTTCAAGGGTAAGGCCTGCACACTGTCTCAGGGAAGCCAGGCAATGTCATCATTTCAGTTCCGTCCTTCTTTACACACAGAGCTGAGTCTGATGGCACTGGCTCTGTTCCCAGCAACAAGCACTTCTTCTCCATCATTCCCTTCACGAGCCCAGGATGGTCTTGGCAGGCTGACCCAGGTTGGTCAGACTCTGCCTTTACCCTGTTCTACTTCAGGAGCAGGTGTGCAAAATCAGAGCCCCCAGAGCTGGCAGGGAGGGTCTTGCTCACAGGCCTCTCTGCTCTTCACTGCAGATCTACAGTGTGTCCAAAGCAACACCTGGGAAGCAGCACTGGGGAGGAGCACTGGGGAGGAGCACTAGGAAGGAGAACTGGGGAGGAGCACTGGGGAGGAGAACTGGGGAGGAGAACTGGAGAGGAGAACTGGGAAGCAGCACTGGGGAGGAGCACTGGGAAGCAGCACTGGGGAGGAGCACTGGGGAGGAGCACTAGGGAGGAGCACTAGGGAGGAGCACTGGGGAGAACTGGAGAGGAGCACTGGAGAGAACTGGAGAGGAGCACTGGAGAGGAGCACTGGGAAGCAGCACTGGGAAGGAACACTGGGGAGGAGCACTGGGAAGCAGCACTGGGGAGGAGCACTTGGGAGCACTGGAGAGGAGCACTGGGTAGGGCACTCAGACAGCAATGCCTGTACCATGAGTCCCTACAGTACAAGAAAGTTTAGAAATGAAATTACGTCACTTAATGGCCCTCAATTGTGCACTTAATAGATGTAGTAAATGCTAACTTTACGTTACTTTACCATACCAAGCTGGAATAAAAAAATTCAGAAAGTCAAAAACATCTACAATAAAATATAAATTCTGATGGGGGGCGGGGTCAAATGCCAAGATAAAGAGAAAATGTCAACATTTCACTGTGGCCTCAACCCTGCGGGCACTGGGCAAGCTACCTAACTTCCTTGCAGCAGGAGGAATCTCATCCAGCCTTGCCCCCGGGGGAGGAGGACCACAGGAGAGAGGCACTCTCTAAGGGCCCTGCAGGACAGCAGCAGACAACAGCCTTGCAGCAGACTGTGGCTGACTGGAAGGGGAGACGTCAGGAGACCCAGAGACCACTATCGCCCACGGCCAGCCAGTTCAGCCCCTCACTGGGGCAAGTGAGAGTCCAGGTCTTTTCTGTTCATACAACTAGTCTGTGTTGCCCCCGCCATGTCTACAGGCTGACAGTCATGTCATTCCATCCTTCTGGAAGGACCATTCCCCACTCCACACCAAGCCCCTGTCGGGTGCCAATGGAGACCAATTCTGTTGGCTATTTGAGGTGAATCTCCGCAGACCTGTCAAATGAGGGATCAGGTTGCATCATGAACAGGAACATCCAGGAAGAACAAAATGGAAAGATGCCGGAATCTAACCTGAGAGTCCATGGCTCAACCTGTGCAGCTCCAAGCGCTGCCGCCTCCCGAGTCCAGGGAACAACCTGAAAGAAGACATCCAGATGGGTAGGTGGCTGTTCCCTGAAGCAATGCCCTGTGGCCCCTCAGGATGCAAGACGTCCCCCCCCCCCCTCCCTGCAGCTGAGGTCATACCCACCCACCACCACTGGCTCTCAGCCCGGGTTCCTTGCTTGCTCTCCACACAGAACCAGAGCAGCAACCCAGTCAGTCAGGTCTGCAGGCTTCCTCCTTAGAGCCTCAGCTGGTGCTTCACTGGGCAACCCCAGGCCAGTTCTCCAAATTTTGCTACTCACAGTGGTCAGGCCAACCAGCACATCCCACACAAATTCCTATAGTTAGTCCTCACACTAGTCAGTCAGGTTTCCAGCTAGTCACATTCACCTGCAAGATTGCAGAGCATCTACATTATAGGATCAGGGCCTGCCAACAGCACCTGCCCATTTCCCCTTTCCACCCACACAATGAAGCCGAGCAGACAGCGTGTATTCCGACTTCATGGGAAGAAAACAGTTTGGAGGATCATTCTGAGCTCGGCAAGACAGCTTGGCTGGTAAAATGTGTCTGTCACTCAAGTTTTCTGACCCACCACACACTGATTGGACCAAAGCCACTGAAGAACTGAATTTAAGAAGTATGTCCAGCCGGGCAGTGGGAGCGTCCTGCATCCTGATGGGCTCCACAGGGGCCCTGCTTCAGGAACAGCCACCTACACCATCTATGGCGCACGCCTTTAACCCCAGTGCTTGGGAGGCAGAGGATCTCTGAGTTTGAGGTCAGCCTGGCTACAGAGTGAGTTCCAGGACAGCCAGAACTACACAGAGAAACCCTGTCTCAAAACAACAAACAAACAAACAAACAAACAAACAAAAACCAAAAAGAAAAGACAAGACGTATGTCCAGCCAAGCGGCTTTGTCTGGTGTGGGGTCTTATGACGAGGCATTCTGAGGTGTTCCACAGTTTCATCACCTTCATCAGGTTAAAATGCAAATCCGGGTGAAGACTCTGACCAGCAAGACCATCACCCTAGAGGTGGAGCCCACTGACACCACAGGAAATGTGAAGGCCAAGGTCCAGGGTAAGGAGGCACCTCCCACCCGCAACCAGCAGAGGCCCGCCCATCTTTGCAGGCAAGCGGCTGGAAGATGACCATACTTTTTGATCCAGAAAGAGTCAAGCCTGCACCTGGTCCTCCATCTGAGGGGTGGCTGCTACTTCTTCAGCCTGCGTTTCCGGTGGGCACTGATGACATTACACTAACGCCATTTGCCCCATTCAAGTTTAGAAATTACAAGTTTCAGTAATAGCCATGTGTGCTGGCGCACGCCTTTAATCCAACCATTTGGGACAAAGGCAGGCAGATCCCCGAGTTCGAGACCAACCTGATCTACAAAGCGAGTTCTTGGACAGACAGGACTATACAGAGAAACCTATTTCAAAAAACAAACAAAAACAAACAAACAAACAAACAAAAACCATACACACACACACACACACACACAAACACAAACCAAAAACCCCAAAAGCAAAGCTCCAGTAACAGCTGAACCTCTGTTTAAATGTTAACGAAGATGTCCATTCACTGTATACACTGTTATCGAAAATGCAAATACTATGGCTACTATGGACAGTAGTGTGGGGGTTCCTCAAGAAGCTACTCCCAGGAACAGGCCGGAATGTGCTTGCCAGCAAACCGGTTGACCTGAGTTCCAGCCTGGAATAATGTGAAAGGTCGAAGGAGAACCGATTCCAGGCTCCTCTGACCTCCGCACCGTGTGCCCCGCCCCCACAACATACATACAATAATAGACAGAAAGAATATTTAAAAAGCCACCTTGTTCGACATTTCCCATCACCTCCAGAAGCATTAGACACGGGTGTGAAAGCGAGGGCGAGACCTCACCGTGGTCTTGGCGCTCAGTCACGGCCACAGCAGAGGCCACTTCCTCCAGACGCCACCAGGTGGAGTCTGGGGCAGGAGAGCTGCCTTTCTGGGCCAGAAGGGTCACCAGTGAGATGAACAGACAATGGGTCTACTCAGACACCCCCTCACTCTCCCGGGGCCCCAAGAGTTTCTCTTGTACCATGGAAGCCAAATGTCCTGAAGTAGCTGAGCACTCTGAACCTCACGAAAGCCCCCCTCCCACATGTCTGAAGTGCAGACACAGGCCACACCAGGCGGGAAGACGGCCCGGCACTTGAGTGCAGTTACACATAGATCTGGGTGTCTGTGTGTCCCACATGCCCCCCTGCTGAGGTTTATCTACACAACTGATCACTAACCACTACGCAGAAAGTCATACCACTGGAGGCACCCACTCATTCACTCACCAAGTGTCCAAGGTGCCAGGGGCTACAAAGCAGAACACAGAATGCCACCAAGACAAGATCTAGAGAGGAAAAAGCCACCCAGATTTAGGGCTGATGAACGCCCAAGAAACAGCCAGAAAAACATAACAAGTTTTCCATCTTTTAAAAAAAATTCTTTAATTTTATTGCATTGGTATTTTGCCGTGGGTGTCAGGTGCCCTGGAACTGGAATTACAGAGTTGTGAGCTGCCATGTGGGTGCTGGGAATCGAACCTGGGTCCTCTGGAAGAGCAGCCAGTGCTTTCTAGCCTTGAGTTTTCCATCTTTTTTTTTTTTTCAGAGCTGAGGACCGAACCCAGGGCCTTGTGCTTGCTAGGCAAGCGCTCTGCCACTGAGCTAAATCCCCAGCCCAAACTTTTTTTTTTTGGTTTTTCGAGATAGGGTTTCTGTGTGTAGTTTTGGTGCCTGTCCTGGATCTCGCTCTGTAGACCACGCTGGCCTCGAACTCACAGAGATCCTCCTGGCTCTGCCACTACCCGGCGAGTTTTCCATCTTTTTAAATGAACAAATGTTAACTCATTACTCAACAGAAAACAAAAACAAAAACAAAAACCCACAACACAGTGCCTTGTTAAAACTGCCAAGGGCTAAAGATGCAGCTCCGTTGGCGGACTGCCTGTCTCACATGCAGGAAGCCCTCAGGAAGTAGAGCAGGAGATGATCAGAAGTTCAAGGTTGGAGGCTGGAGAGATGGCTCAGCGGTTAAGAACACCAACTGCTCTTCTAGAGGACCAGGGTTCAATTCCCAGCACCCACATGGCAGCTCACAACTGTCTGTAACTCCAAGATGTGACACCCTCACACAGACATGCATGTAAGCAAAACACCAGTGCATATAAAATAAATAATTAAAAAAAACAGTTCAAGGTCGTCCTCTACTGCACTTAGGCTGGGCCAGGCTGGGCTACATGAGACCTTGTCTCCATAAAAATAAATAAATAAATGAATAAAAATCATTCAAGAGTTGAAGAAGCATAGACGATGGGAACTAGAAGAATTTGTAGCCGCCTGCAAGACTGCCAGGAGCTGGAAGGCGAGAGTGGCCTTCCCTGGGTGAAGTTCCTGTGCTGGTCTGTGGAAAATGCCTGCATTAACATCTGCCGTCTACAGAGCAGCAATACCCTAAAGGGGATGACAGTTAAAAGACCCAAGATTCAGCACTGCCCAGCATGCCTGAGGCCCTGGGCTAGATGCTCAACAACCTGAAAACAAAGTATGCCTTGAGGGGCTGGTTGGAGACTGGAGAGATGGTTTGGCAGTTAGGAGTGCTTCCTGCTCTTCCAGAGGACCCAAGTTCGGTTCTCAGAACCCATGCCAGGTAGTTCATAACCACCTGTAACTCCAGCTCCAGGGGGATCTGATGTCCTAATGGGCCTCCGTGGGCAATCCATACAAGCATGCATGCACACACACAGATACAGACACACACACACAGATACAGACACACACACACAGACACACACACAGACACATACACATACAAACAGACACACACACAAACAGACACAGACACACACACAGACACAGACACATACACACACACACACACACACACACACACACACACACACACACACACACACACACACTAAAGGGGGCTGGAGAGATGGCTCGGATGCCCCACCAGAGGACCCAGGTTCAGTTCCCAGCACTCATTTCTCCAGCCCTCCCTTCTTTTTCTTTTTACAAGACAAATGGTCAAATCTGAGATTTTCTAGGGTTACCCAACATAGCTTTAGGTGTAAAGAGCCTGAAAAGGCTGGGAACAAAGCTTGATGGTAGAACACCGGCCAACATGAGCAAGGCCCTGAGAATTCCATCCCCAGCATGCAAAATATAAATGAGTAAATAAACAAAGTTTCTTTTCTAAATCTAGGGTCTAATACTAGAAAACAATAAACACCAAGTGTTGTCTGAAACCGGAGGCAGCAGGACGGCCGATTCGATTAAAACAGGAACTCATGCACCGAGAAGAGGCTTGGTTACCCATTAATGACACCACCTTGACTGTTTCATAAGCAGCTAGCTTACGTTCTGTTTCCCCCTCCCCCGGTCCCCACTGCTGTCTAAAAGCCAATCAACATGCAGCTGCAAAAGTTACTTCCTGTAAGAGCTCACAGGTGAGCATGAGAGGGGTGGCATATGCCGTAGCATGTGTGGAGGTCAGGGCCCAATTCTGTGGTGTCAGTAATCTTTTTATACCTCTACATAAGCTCCAAGGATCAAACTGCAGGTCACCAGGCTTGCCGGGCAAATGTCTTTACGCACTGGGATATGACTTTTAGGTCCAGGAAATCCCAGACTGGACACCTTTTATATTTTTGGTTGTGAGCCTAGCCTTTAACGGCTGAGCCATCTCTCCAGCCCGGACACCTTTTCAAAGAACCAGCGAGGCCTAACTGACTCCATAAGCCTGCTGCAGGGGTGTGGACTTACAGTCCCAGGGACTGGGGGGCTGAGGCGGGGGCTCCCTTGAGCTCCAGGGTTAGCCCAGCATGGGGAACACAGCAGGGCAAACACAGGGACACCCCTGGAACCATCCCATTAAATAAGAAAAACCAGCAAATGATCAAACAATGTTTTATATATATATATGTATGTGTATGTGTGTGTGTGTGTGTGTGTGTGTGTGTGTGTGTGTGTGTGTGTGTGTGT